AGGCAATATATGCCAGGAACATGTCTTTGATGATATTCTAGAACGAAAAATCGTCTTGCTAGGCTATAAAAACAAGAAGTTGAGCAAGTCGAAAAAATGACATTTTTCCAAAGGGGTTAACCCATGGTTTTGATCCAAAAATGTCCATTTTTCCAACTTTTTTTTTTTAGGCAATATAGGCCAGGAAAATGTCTTTTACGATATTCTAGAGCGAAAAAACGCCTTTCTAGGCTATAAAAACAAGAAGTTGAACAAGTGGAAAAATTGACATTTTTTCAGAGGGGTTAACCCATGGTTTCGGTCCAAAAATGGCCATTTTTCCACCTTTTGTTTTTTTTAGGCAATATAGGGCAGGAAAATGTCTTTTATGATATTCTAGAACAAAAAAAAACGTCTTTCTAGGCTGTAAAAACAAGAAGCCGAAAATTTCGAAAAATTGACATTTTTCCAAAGGGGTTAACGCAAGGTTTTGGTCCAAAAATATCCAGATTTCCAACTTTTCTTTTTAGGCAATATATGCGAGGAACATGTCTTTGATGATATTCTAGAACGAAAAATCATCTTCCTAGGCTATAAAAACAAGAAGTTGAACGAGTCGAAAAATTGACATTTTTCCAAAGGCGTTAACCCATCGTTTTGGTCCAAAAATGGCAATTTTTCCAACTTATTTTTTTAGGCAATATAGGTCAGAAAAATGTCTTTTATGATATTCTAGAAGGAAAAAACGTTTTTCTAGGCTATAAAATCTAGAAGTCCAAAAAGTCGAAAAATTGACATTTTTTCAAAACCCACGGTTTTGGTCAAAAAATGGCCATTTTTCCAACTTTTTTTTTTTAGTTAATATAGGCCAGGAAAATGTCTTTTACGATATTCTAGAGCGAAAAAACGCCTTTCTAGGCTATAAAAACAGGAAGTTGAAAAAGTCGAAAAATTGACATTTTTCCAAAGGGGTTATCCCATGGTTTTGGTCCAAAAATGGCCATTTTTCCAACTTTTTTTTTTTTAGGCAATATAGCCCAGGAAAATGTCTTTTACGATATTCTAGAGCGAAAAAACGCCTTTCTAGGCTATAAAAACAAGAAGTTGAACAAGTCGAAAAATTGACATTTTTCCAAAGGAGTTAACCCATGGTTTTGGTCCAAAAGTGGCCATTTTTCCAACTTTTGTTTTTAGGCAATATAGGCCATGAAAATGTCTTTTATGATATTCTAGAACCTAAAAAAGTCTTTCAAGGCTCTAAAAACAAGAAGTCCAAAAAGTCGAAAAATTGACATTTTTCCAAAGGGGTTAACCCATGGTTTTGGTCCAAAAATGGTCATTTTTCCAACTGTTTTTTTTTAGGCAATACAGGCCAGGAAAATGTCTTTTACGATATTCTAGAGCGAAAAAACGCCTTTCTAGGCTATAAAAACAAGAAGTTAAAAAAGTGGAAAAAATTGACATTTTTCCAAAGGGGTTAACCCATGGTTTTGGTCAAAAAATGGCCATTTTTCCAACTTTATTTTTAGGCATTATAGGCCAGGAAAATGTCTTTTACGATACTCTAGAGCGAGAAAATGCCTTTCTAGGCTATAAAAACAAGAAGTTGAAAAAGTGGAAAAATTGACATTTTTTCAAAGGGGTTAACTTATGGTTTTGGTCCAAAAATGGCCATTTTTCCGACTTTTTTTTTTTAGGCAATATAGGCCAGGAAAATGTCTTTTACGATATTCTAAAGCGAAAAAACGCCTTTCTAGGCTATAAAAACAAAAAGTTAAAAAAGTCAAAAAATTGACATTTTTCCAAAGGGGGTAACCCGTGGTTTTGGTCCAAAAATGGCCATTTTTCCGATTTTTTTTTTTTTTTAGGCAATATAGGCCAGGAAAATGTCTTTTACGATATTCTAGAGCGAAAAAACGCCTTTCTAGGCTATAAAAACAAGAAGTCCAAAAAGTGGAAAAATTGACATTTTTCCAAAGGGGTTAACCCATGGTTTTGGTCCAAAAATGGCCATTTTTCCAACCTTTTTTTTTAGGCAATATAGGCCAGGAAAATGTCTTTTATGATATTCTTGAACGAAAAAAACGCCTTTCTAGGCTATAAAAACAAGAAGTTCAAAAAGTCGAAAAATTGACATTTTTTCAAAGGGGTTAACACATGGTTTTGGTCCAAAAATGGCCATTTTTCCAACTTTTTTTTTTTAGGCAATATAGGCCAGGAAAATGTCTTTTATGATATTCTAGAACGAGAAAATGCCTTTCTAGGCTATAAAAACAAGAAGTCTAATAAGTCGAAAAATTGAGATTTTTCCAAAGGGGTTAAAGGAACAGTATCCCGTTACAGCGCATGCACCAAACTTTGATTTTTGGACAGGATGTCTCGAAATCAAAAGATGCGAGGAGAGTAAGAGAACCTTGAAAAATCCGTTTGCATCGCGCTTGACCAGGTTCAATACGACACTAAAACTTCTTAGGATTACAGATCAATGATATATTGTTCCTGTTAAGTTTCGATTTGGGCAAAATCTGGATTTTGTGGCGTTACTTTTATTGCCGTTGGCCGGAGGACCAAAAGATTGGAAGCACTTTGATGCCGATCGGAAGGCTTATTTCTTCTCCTAGCTTCCATACAAGCTCAGATAATTGTGAAAGGAATACGCAGAAATGAAACGGCAACAATAAAGACTGTAAGAAAGAAACCATTGAGACATTGATGTGACTGAGGAGATCTTGTGGAGGGGAGCTTCGTGAAGCAGAATGTTTTGCAACGACGCGTTAGTAAACTTTTTTAAATGAATCTCCCTAAAGGCCGACAAAATCAAACAAACAGGCGCTACATGTTTAAAAAAACTAGTGCCATGAAATCATAATATAATTTTTGACTAACCTTTCTGATGATTCATAGCGTTGAGATTGCATTTTTATTTAAGTCTTTCAAACGTTTGAGGCTAGAACGCGAGCAAATCAGGCAGATATTACTAGACTTGGAACAACTGACCTCTGACACGAGTTTCAAATTAGAAAATATGTTTTTAAAGCGAGCGAAACGAGATTTTCGGGTCGCGAGGCGGCCCAGCTAGCGATAAAATCGCGATGAGTCTTCGAACCGCGAGCCAAATTTTTATACAAGACGAAAGTCTTCTTTGAAAGTCTAAAATATTACTTGAGAATATAAACAACAAATCTCTGTCGGCGGTGCGGTCCGGAAAAAAATCTTGTCGAGTCAATATGACAGTTCTATTGTCTTTTGAAGAAAAAACAGATGACGCTCGCGCGTGCGCATAATCGGGACACTGTCCCTTTAACCCATGGTTTTGATTTAAAAATGGCCATTTTTTTTTACAATTTTTTTTTATTTAAGATAGGCGAGGAGAATGTGTTTTATGAAATTCTAGAACGAAAAACCGGCCTTTTAGGCTATAGAAACAAGAAGTTCAAAAAGTCAAAAAATTGAGATTTTTCTAAAGCGGTTAACCCTTTCAGGAGCATCCTGATCCTGTAGAAGGTCGTAATGCAAACGACCCTAAATGTAATAACGTGCTAAATGTAATAACATTTTGTCCTAAATTTAATTTATTCCTTACTGTAATGATGTAATAAGTTGTTAAGTTGCCAATAACAGTAAGGACTCGAATAAGCGTTGCATTGAGGGGGGGGAGGGGGGAGGGGGAAAGTTGATTAGTGCCGCGGCGCTTATTCGTGTAAATACGATACTAAGCGGTATTACTATGGTATTAAGCAAATTTTTGACAAAAACCGTGGACTAACCCCTTTGGAAAAGTCTCGAGTTAGCAACTTTTTGAACTTCAATTGCCAATTTTTGACGAAAACCATGGACCAACCCGTTTGGGATAAGCCCAATTTTTTGACTGTTTTAACTTGTTGTTTTTATGGTCTAGAAAGGCGTTTTTTTTTCTTTCTAGAATATCGTGAAACACAGCTATAAGTAGCAGGAGGTTAGGCCATTTTTGTGTTGAAATGCATGTTTTTTTAACTTCCTTTAGGCATACAAGTTAAGCTTGTGGATAAAATTTTGCAAGGTAATTATTTCTTTATTTTATATGTTAAGTGCCAAAAAATATTAATTCTCGCAGTTTTTACCTGATTTCTACTTCATGGTTAAATCCAAGATGGTGGCCAAGATGGTGAGCATATTTGGTGAGGTGTCTGACCTCCAGCAGCGGTACCGCCCATGAAATATACCTCATCTTGTGAAGAAGATCAAAGGTTTTCCACTGAAGGTAAAATCATTTCACAATATTGCAACATATCAAAAACCCAAGGGGGGAGGTTCCATTAACTCCCCTCGTACCACGCTGGGGGTATCACTTTATGTGTACGTCCGAGGGTTAAGAGGTTCGAGGTGCTCTCAACTGCATCTCCATGAACTCATCGTCTCTATCGTGCTCTTTAACTTTCTCGCGTGCTATATGGTCGACATAAGCACGCTGACTGACGCACAAACCAATTGTTAAATAGCGCTTAACGACTTGAATAGCAAGAAATTTGATAACTGTAATTGTAGGAAATTAATTTGCAATGAGTTCAACGATTTAAATGAAAGTCAGAACGAATTAGCGGTGTGAGCTTGGAACGTTGCTCACAGGACATGCACAAAACTTTGCGTTCATCCCATGTCAACAAAACTCGGTACGCGCTTAAATCGTTCTCCACAACAATGTTCACCACGTAATAGTATAAAGAACGTTTATTCAAGTGAATCGTTGAGACGTTAACAATTCTGGGAAGTGAAACGATGTGTAGCGAAGCGATAAACGATCAAAACGTTAAATGCAATGGAAACAGCGTTAACTTGAGACTTTCTCATGATTTTGAACACGTTTACAAAAGGTGTTAGCTCAAACAGAGAATAATAGATCTATTTACTTGGTCGATTGTACGTGGGCAAATATGTCCATAGTTTTAACCACAAAAGCCATAAAATTATCAAACAAAGAAACTATCAAGACTAGAAAGGAAATACAAAAAACCAGGAAATGTTTGGCAGTAACAAGCGGTAATTTAAGTCATTTCATTTAACTTAGTTCCGCTCCTATTAAGTAAAACATTGAAGTTATCAAATCCATCAACTTTACCAGTGTCTAAAACTAGAATTTTGTCACAGTCGCTTACGGTATTTAACCGATGAGCTATTGTTATAACAGTGGAGTGCTTTAGCTTTTCATGCACCACGTTCCAAATCGTTTGCTCTGTGTCTGGATCAACATGAGCGGTGGGTTCATCCAAAATGACGATTTTCTTATTCAGCAAGAGAACACGAGCCAAGCAGATAAGCTGCCTTTCTCCCACACTTAAATTTGCACCTTGCTCCAGTAATTCGTAATCCAACTGCCCCTCTAAATTCTCTACAAGATTTTTCATTTGGACTTGTTCTAAAGCTCGCCAAAGATCAGCGTCTTGAAACTGTTCCACTATGTCTAGATTTTTTCTCATTGATCCACTGAACAGGACGGGATTTTGCCCAAGAACGGTTATTGCCTGTCGAGACCCTCGTAGATTGATACTTCCCAATACAACATCATCAATCAAAATGTCTCCTTCAGCCTCAGGCATGCGCATTAGTGCAGCCACAAACGAAGATTTCCCTGACCCCGTGCGACCCACAACTCCAATCTTAGCTCCTGCTTTGATGCTTAAAGAAATATTCCTTAGAACCTGAGGACCCCCTGGATAATACGCCAATGATATGTCTTGAAAATTGATACTTCCTTTGTCTGGCCACTTTTCCGGGGGAAGTCGTTTCACATCGTAACCAGGTTCAGAGTCAAGTTTGGTGTAATCGATAACTCGTTCTACTGCAGTCATTAAATTTTCAACCTCTGTTAACTTACGGACAGCAAATTGTGTCAAATTCACGGTCTGGACAACATAAACAAGAGATAGTCCAACAAAAGCTGCAAGAAGTAAACGAGAAATTTTTCAGTTACGACAAAACTTGAATTCAAACCTCTTTTCTAGACACAAGCAAGATAAACCGGGTTCCAAAATCCGGGAAATTTTTCCTGTGGAATCCGGAATTTTGGGGTTTGCAATCCGTTGTTCAGCTCAAGGAATCCGCAATCTCGCTAACGATTGAAATCGGGATCCAAGTTCCACTTACAAAGGATCCGGCATCGAGTAATCCACAGCGTGGAAACCATCATCCAAGACTGTCATGGATCACCTAATATGGGGCGATTTTCCCGAGCGAACGTAAAATCTCCCTATAGATTTTTCCTGTTCAAGTATTTACTTACGCAAGACCAGAAAGGTGGCGTAGACGATTGCTTAAGCAGTGGCAGATCCCCCCGAAGGTCCGAAAAAAAACGTTTTCGAGACCTGCCCCCTCCCCCTTATCTAAGGGTCTGTATGACCGCCCCCCGCCTCTCTCTTATCTCAAGGTGTGGATCCGCCAATGTTAAGTAATAAAGAAAACTGATAACATGCAAGGGACACTTCTCGTTAACTTCTCTGAGAGAGTTTTCGGCCTCAAACACCCTTCGTTTTGATTTTCATACGATTTTTTATCATACTCATCGTCATCCAGTTTATAAAGGTACCTACCAGGATCCTCGGAAACAAAAACTGCAGCAAGAGCCACTGTACCAGTCAACAGAGCGGAAAGAATGTCCAACCGTACACCAAGCCATCGGCCGCCGGCAAGTAACAGGATACACGATTTTGTATGTACATCTTGACACCTACAGCCAAGAACTGATGATTAATTGCACCTCAGAAGCGTTTAGCTACAACATCGTTCGGTTTTTGGGTGTTGAGTTAGGGGAGGAAGGGTTATATGCCCACACTCTAAGGTTTCTGGGTTTTGTCAAAACGATTTGGACCAAAAGCTTTGGTAAAAACATACTGATAAGAAACATAATTGACTGAATTTAATCAAGGCACTCTGCAGAAACCATCTCGGACACGGGTTTTGGCTGATTTTAAAGACAACGCGTTCCTCTGTAAATTCATAGCTACGCCCAACGTAAACAAAGGTCATTAATGTGCACGACAGATGGATTGCCTGGCATTCTGCACTACAAATGTTACACAAGGAAAAGATCGATAGACTTCCTTTCATTTTTAACCATCACCCACATTCTCAAAGCAATTAGTCGCTTCCTAGCTTTCAATGGTTTCGAAATGATTCCAAAACTAGGCGAAAACATAGGCAACTTTTCAAGATTAAGCACGTCGTCTATTGAATCGAACGATCAACCAGAACTTTCCAACACGCTCGCACCATGTAAGATTAGCCTTTTTATTCACAACATAGACGAACTTTCTACACCAAATGCAAAACGGTCTGTGTTTATCACTATCAGGTTCATAAATATCACTCATCGCTCCAAGAATAATGTGGAATCCGGGATCCTGGGTTCTCATTGCATTGGAATCCGAAATACGAGTTCTTGAATAAACCCTCGGACGTACCAGGGGTGGGGGTGATGGATGCCACCTCCCTCCCCCTCCCCCCGCCCTATAAGGTTTTTCTCAGTTTTTCCCTAGAGGATAAAACATCAGCACCTGACGTTTTCAGTAGCTATTCGTTCATCCCTCGCGCAGATTTTGAGACAAGTTTAGTGATGGTCAGTTGCTATGGTTACGAGATATGATGTCATGAGTAGCATGTGGTCAAGCCAATTTTCGGTGAAAATACATGTTTTCTAAACTTCTTTCAAGAAAAAAAGTAAATCTTTTTACTAAAATCTTATGTGTTATTTTTCATGTAAAGCACAAAACATTACCATCTCTCGCGGTCTTGATATGATTTTTAATTCTTGGTAAAATCCAAGATGGCAACCATTGTTAGTGACGTCACAGGCCTCTAGCAGCACAACCACCCTTAAAATATATCTCATCTTGTTAACAAGATCAAAGGCTTTCCACTTAAGGTAAAATCGTTTCAAAATACTGCAACAAATAACAAAACTCTTGGGGGGTAAAATCCACCCCTCTCCTTTGTACCACGGTGTGGGTATGAATTTGAATGTGTTTGTCCGAGGGCTAACACAAAAGGAAATTTTCTATGAAGGTATAAATACCTGTGAAAGCGAGCGACGAAATCTTCTTCTCTTTTTCGTGTCCTTATTGTGTCCAGTCCATCCAAGGTTTCCGAAATATGCGAATAGACAGGACTGCGGCAGATTGACTCCAACCTTTGAAGCTCCCTGGATGTCTTTAAGTAATACCTTGAAAAAAGTCCTGCCGACACAGCTATTGGCACAACAGCAAACAGAACCCAAGGGTTGGTGATCGTTGGCAGAAGAATGGACGTGAACAAGAGCGGGAACAGCTGGACTGACTGCAGAAACGTTTTAGGCAATACTTCATCCATGCAGCCAATATCTCTAGAGAACCGATTCAAAATTCTTCCCACGGGGTTTGAATCAAAGAAGAAGACCGGTGCATGTAGAACCGCAACGACCATTTTGTCATGGAGACGCTCGGAACTTCTTAAGGATACCAAGTAGAATCCAAACGCTCGGATGACAAGTAGGATGAAAGCTGCACCGACAAGACCTCCATAGATCGTCAAGTTCCGCTTGTCTCGTTGATACTCTGGTCGTTTCCTTACCATCAACGACAGCCAAACGTCGGGGGACACTAGCATTGCTAAAAAAAAGTGGTAAATATTTTGTAACAGTACCTTGCACGGTTAAAAGTGAGCGCATTCTTCAAGTGTAAAGTGAAATCAGAAATTAAACTAAAACCTTACAGATGCGGATTTCTGATGAGGATTTAAATTACAAAAAAGTCGTAAAAAAGTGAATTATATCTGCCCTCACTCGCCGTTATGCAATTTTAACCGCATATCGTTTACACACGATCCGTCCGTGGTAGAAACTCAAGTTTCAATCAATACTTAGTCATCACTAAAACGTCTTCTACAGAGCTTTATTGAACTTTTGGAAGTGCACTGGTGTAAGTGAAGGGTGCGTGTGTGTTTTGCCTTGGAATGAGGACAATGAGACTCAATGAACTATCGCCCTAAATGGTGGAGGGAGAGGGAGAAGGAGGACGAGTAGGCGAGGACCCTCGGAACAAGCTTGGCGAACATTTGAAGGCTAAGAAAATAACTTCACCGCTTTGCGGTGGATTTTGTTGACCTTCAAATACTGTCAATGCTTTAAAACAAGATCGCTCAAACCTTCTGTTACCTTGGGTAATAAAACAAAAACAAATTCCTGCAATGATCACGGTCAAAGGAGTTCCGTTTCTGAAGTAGTTCCAATAAAGTTTCGTGGACACCACTCCGTTCGCACAATCTTCTTTTGTCACGCGAAGAGCCTTGAATTCATTGGCGTTGGGCATGGTTCTCTCACACAAGTCCGAAATCGGTTTCTCTCCAGTGCCCTGTTCTGCTAAGCTTGCACTTGATTCTTTGTCTTTCTTATACAGCGGATCAACAGTGGTATTTAGAAGCCCCTTTGCTTTCAGTTCTTCAAAACATCCCTTACCTAACATTTCGCCTTTTAGTAATACAATAACATCATCAGCTTCTCTCATTAGTTGCTCGTGGTGAGAAGCGATCAATCTGGTCTTTTCTCCTAGCAAGCCCATGATGCAGTGCGTGAAGATGTGCCGGCCAACGTTGAAATCCAAAGCACTAAGGGGATCATCTAACAGGTAAAGGTCTGCATCGGCATAGACTGCGCGTGCTAAGCTTACTCTTGCCCGCTGACCTCCACTAAGAGCAACACCGCGCTCTCCAACAACTGCTTTGTCACCATCGGGAAACTGCTGGATGTCATCTCCTAAAGCACAAGCTTGGATCACTCTAGAGTACTTGGATTCCTCGTAGGGCTCTCCAAACAAAATGTTTTCTCTGATCGTTCCAGAGAATAACCAAGCAATCTGTGGCACATAAATAATAGTTCCTCTGCGGGATATGGCTAATTTCTTGCTTGTTCCTTCGCCAGCGATCGTTGCGAGAAGAGTCGACTTTCCACTGCCTACTGGCCCGCTAAGAGCTACCAAACTGCCCTTCTTAGTGGTGAATTCTACATTCCGTAAAATGAATCCTTCATCTCTATCTTTCTCCTGTTGCATGCCATTTTCAACAAGTAAGATAAGATCCTGTTCTAATTCTGTTACTTTGCGAGTAACTGGCACCTTTTCGCTCTCTTCTTTGTTTTTTCTCGTGGAGCTAGTTGAGGTTACATTGTCTAAAAGAAGAAAGTCTTGAATTCTATTCAGGGAAACATAAGCGTCATATGACTGAAGAAAACCATAAGCCAAGTTTACGCAGAAATTCTCTCGAAGTAAATTGATAAGGGAAAGCAAAATGAATGCGTTTACCGGTGTAAGCGGCTGACCAGTTAGTGAAAGAGAGACGACTGTCACCAAGACCGCCATTGGTGTTGAAATGTACTCCAAAGTAGCAATGGTCGATAAAATGGCGCTCTTTTTAAGGATGAAGCTGACTTCTTGCCTGTAGAATGATGAATTTGATTTTCGTTACTATCTAATGATAAAGGGAATTGTGGCCTCAATTCTTCAATTAAAGTACAGCAGTAACAGCAACATTCCAGGGTTCCACTGTTTGCCTTTTTAGGCACTGGATAACATTCCAGTATTTTCATGGATTTTGTGTTAGTTAATCATACAATGTTAAAGTTAACGTGGTGTGTCCACTATTGCAGTCTTATGCGCACTCGATATTGATACAGCCGAGTGCCTTTTCGAATGAAGATCTCTCACGAGATTTCACGCTTTATCCATGTAACCTGTAATTTACTGATTTCCATATTTGGTATATAAAAGAAGAGTTGCACGCCCAAGCTTCTCCGAGTTCTTATGCTAATGATTGCCTTGTTGTTGTCTATGAGCTACATGGAAACGGACGCAATAACTCCCAAAATTGTTGGGCTTTCAATATTCAGAGTTGTTGCGTCCGTGTTGGCCGTGGTGTCTAAACGGATGCAGCAACTACCAACAAAGTTGGGACCTGCAAGGCATCGTGGAAAAGACACAACCCATAAGGAGACCATGTGTAATGCGAACGAGTGGGCCCCAACAATGTTGAAAGAGCTGTGCAAACGGATCCAACACTACGCTTCGGCGATCACGGAAGAAAAGAAATGTTGGAAGTTATTGGCTTAAAATTTTGACTGGTTTTAAACTTTGCGCAACAGCTTTCACGCAACAACGTGCAACAGGGTGTGCAAAAGGACGCAACTTGTAACATCCAACAATGTTGGGAGTTGCTGGCCGACGATGTCGCGTCCGTTTGCTCGGGGCTTTACAACTTGAAACAAGGCCTCTGTTTAATTTCTCACGGTTATAGATGGTTTTAAGAACTACATTTTCGTTTATCAGTTAAGCCGACAGAAAACAACCCAAATTGTTCCCCAGCTCATGGTTAGTAGCAAATATTTTCTCACCTTCGTACATTTCTAATCTTTTGCTGTTATTCCTCTTCCCATGCATATGATTTGATAGCGCGAATGCCAGAAATTACCTGGCTCATCAACGAAATGCGGTGATCAGAAACTGCAGCTGTGCGAAAGCGTAGAGCGGCGCCAGCGTAAGACAGACCACCAAAACATGGTAAGAGTATACATAGAAGGGTGATTCCTATTGTAGACTGCCAGCCAATGAAATGAAGGAGCAAGGAGGAGACCATAACGAGCTGAAGTATGCAAAAAGGTATGTTGAGAAACAATTTCACTGTATCTGCTTCAAGTCGCTGAACATCGTTGGATACAAGATCAATCACGTGACCTGTCGAGAACCTTAATAACGAGTCCTTGCTAAGTAGAAGCACCTGCCCGAAGATAAATGATTAATTTACTCTTATGAAGCGGCAACACAAAGAATCATTTTTTGCAGTAAAGCGCAGCTAGTTACAAGCGAAATAAGTATGCCTGAAGCCAAAGGCATAAAACAATCAATATTTGCTAACTGATTTTTTTCATATATATACAAATGGTAGCAGTATTGGTTTTTATATCTTCATGTTAATTAGCACCCTTTCCCTGGACTGCCTCTGCAGAATTCAAAAGAACTTTAACCTCAAAACAATCTAATACTTGCCGATTGTCATGAAGAGAAATGCCTGCAAATGCTAATTCACTTCGTCTAAACTTTATCAGCACTCCCAGGTCAGAAACTATTTTTTGTCAGATTTCTTTTCGTTTTTCTTTCCTTTTTATTTTTTTAATGTCTACCCTAGTCTTTTTTTTTTTAGATAGACGTAACTATCCGCAAATCTTGGTCTGCGGATTAAGAAAAATATAACAACAGAGGATCGACAAAAAGGATTCGAGCATTGTTGTGACTTAGCGACTCCTGTTGAGTAAGACGGACGTCATGAGCTTACTAGTTCGTACCAGGGCATAGTCGTAGGAGTCCACTTTTTGGGGGGAGTACTTTATTTTGTGGGGAACGGTACCCACCTACCCCTCTTCAGGAATAGGCCTCAGTTCAATCACAGTTGAGTATGCCACCAACACTGTTAACTGTTGCGCCGAGTGTCACTTTCAAATTCAAGTCCTCGGTGAATGTGTTTATATTACCAAAAACGTAACTTAAAACTTTGTTGGTTATCTATACTCCCAGAGATCAAAAGGCCACTGACCAAAAAGAAGATAAAACTTCTGTTCAATTCATTTCAGCTACACTGGAATGTTCTACGCGCTTACCTTCTCGTAGACCAACCCTTTGAGGGCACCACTGATTTTGATACCAATCATGTCACACTGATAGCAAAAATGGTGGATATTGAGAGCCGCGAACAATTCAGTTATTCCAATTCCCAAAGCGCAGGCGTAGAGAAAATAATTATGCTTTTGCTCAACTTTTCTCAAAGATTCAATGAGATATTTAAGAAGTAGTGGCCGGAGAATCTTAGCAAATGTACGCAGACTGCCAATTAAAGCGACAATGATGGCCTCTCTAATAGAAATCATGTTCAACACGCTTTTCCAGAGTTTAGGTGATCCTCTGCCATGTCGCCTGCTAGACTCTCTTTCCTTCTTCCAATTTGACTGAAGCTTTTCGGACAGAAAGGAGGTACTGTTTTCGTCTTTGAGAGGTAAAAGATCATTTTCATCGATAGCTCGTCTACTTCCTTTCTTAAATATAATGCTCATCCATTGAAAAAATAGCGAAGAAAAGAAGCTGATCTTTTCCTCTTGTACAGTCTCTGTGATTTTTTCGTACCCAGAATTCTTTGTCATATTTTACTGGTGTAGCGATCTAAGAGGAAAAATGACGACACTCCCAAGTAGCGCATAACTCGAATAAGAAGCCCAAGTACCACTTCTCAGATTCGTTCAGCACAAGACTAGAAATCACAGGATTATATATTAGGACAATGGTACGAGCTTTAATTCTGCTTCATTAAGGTAGTCAGGCATATCCCAACAATATAGAAGAGATCCTGGGGTACTGGCATTTGCATGCTCAAAAAAAAGAAAAACAAAACACCAATAAAATGAATCATTTTATAAATGTTGAACATTCAGAGACTTTGTGTGCCGCTGTTTCGGCCGAGCCACTGGCGATGGCGTTCATTTTAGGAAATTCCGCCAAGTGGAACATTACATAGAAGCTAAATCGTCTTCCCATCAATCGGTTTGCCTTTCGTTCTTTCTTTCTTTCTTTTCTTTTCTTTTCTTTTCTTTTCTTTTCTTTTCTTCTCTTTGGAAGAAAAAGGAATAATTTCGAACCCCAAAAGTAGTGATCACTATACAGTCTGATGCTATGGCTTGGGTCTTATCTTACAGCCCAAATGAAATCAAGCAAACGGCTTCAGAGTGATCTGCCTCCCAGGTCAAAACTTTCATTCCAAATTCCCCGACAGGTACTTGGTTTAAAAGAGAGGTTTTCGTTATGTTGATGTTGATATATGAAAAGAAGTTGCAAAGAAAATTACCTACCTGGCGCTCTTTAAAATTTGTCCCCATTGGGGAACACAATGCATTTACATCTGAAACAAAGTTCCCTACAGTTTAGTTATACACGGTGAATCTGCATATGTTATTTCGATCGCAATGAAGATTATCATGATCAGCCATGCATCATGCCGGGTATGTTCGTTAAATCACCAAGCCACATTTTGGGTATTAACCATTAAACAAGAAAACAGTTGAAATGAGATCAATGTTTTCACGTTCGTCTACTTGCAGAATCAAAATAAAGAAAATAATCCAGACCCCAGAATCAGAGTAATTTTTTACACCCCAAAGGGCCCATATTGTTCATTGTCTGTAACTCACAATAAAAGAACGTAATTAAATGACTTCATAGAAACATTTCGACGGATTGAGTATACAAAGCAACAACGGTCAACAACGGGATAAATTGAAAATTTTTTCAGTAGCAAGTGTCCCTCATGGCAAAAATCCAAGGGTGCCTCTTGTGTCATTTAATGAGAAGTCCCCCAGTGTGTTTGCTATTGAAGTATGGCTTCAAGGGTGAAATTTGCTGGGCATGAAAGAGCTTCTCAAGGTGATAGCGAGGACAAAAAAGGAGATCAAGCTAATAAATTCCACTCATTATTCGATACTACGGATGCCATGGTGAGGCGCTCTCAGAGGGGTTTCGTATGCCCGGTGGGTGGGGGGGGGGGGGTTAGAGGTATGTCAGTGCCGCTGTTAAGGCTATGGTTTTCAAGCAGTTTACTCTGGGATAGGGTGTATAAATCAGAGAGTTTGGGTCTAGAATAGGGTATCATTTTCCAGCAAACTGATCAACTGGTTGAAGATTTTAGTCTTCAATTGTAGACTAGGAAAACCGGGAATTGCCACTCAAGAACATAGAAAAAAAATCAAATCGGCATGGTTTTTTGGCTGGACTGTGCTAGTGACCTCAGTATTTTCTAGAAAACAGCTACTCTAGAATATGGGGAATTTGGGGAGTTTAGTCTTGTATAGGGTAGCAAAATTCAGCTGAACTAGCTCTGGTTTAGTATCCCAGCGGAACATCCCCACCCAAAAATTCCTGAAGTATCCCTTCGGGTCCGTACGGGTCTCTAGTTTGGATTTCAAAAGCTGACATTTCGCGCTTTGAGGAAAAAGCCATGTCGCTGTCGGTATTTCACTACTCTATTTGCACTTTCTTTGTTGCTGTCACAGGTTCAATTCGTCTTTGTGTCATTCTCAGTGTCGCCATTTCCGCTGTCCCATGTTGCTGTTTCAAGGCCGTGTCGCATGTCGGAATTTAACTCAAACAGGGCCTGGATGGTAGAAATGATGAAAGCAGCATAAGCTCTTTTCGGCTTTGGTAATTTAACCGATAATATAATCCGTTGGAAACAATTTCGACGTGGTCACTTGTCGAAACAAAAAAAGCATTTCGCCGCCCGGGGGAAAAATTCCTCAAAGGAATCAATCATGCGTGATCTTACGGAT